ATAACCAAGTCTTTTATTCAGCAGACGTTTCGTTGACCGTATGTCACCTTCCTCAGGGCAATTCTGACTGGTGTAAAAAGAGTCTCTTTACTCAGTGTCTTACCAACCTGATGAAACTATTCACGGATGAAAATATTTCTGTTGTGTAAGATTTTTTTATATATAATAGTTCGTGAAAGCAGGTAAAAGAAGAAAACACAAACAACTAATAACGAACGCCAATATTTGCGTGTTTCAATCGTTTCATCGATATCCTTTCAAAACTGAGTTTCGAAGTAGAAGGAGAAATGCAGCTCAGATTGTGTGGGGGGAGGGGGGCACAATTCTTGCTGAAAGAAAGACAAAGACTCCATAAGTCCATTCACTGTTTATGTTTTGGTGACGATTGTGATGACATGTTTCCTGGATGTACAGGTACTTAGATCACCAGGAAACCGTGCCTTTTTGTTGTCATTTGTAGAATAACAGATGTTCTATCCTTTTAAATCGGGGCTATGAGTTCTTGACAATCAGCTACAAAGAATCTTGTTCAAGTAATAAACTATTAATAATCAACCGGATGACCCTAGATTAAAGAGGCTACATCCTAACGGTATAAGTCATTCAGGATGTGCAAATTGTGTAATCTCCAAGCAGATCTTTCGGTGGCATCAAACATCAAAGACAGTGTCGAATTGGCCAAGCTGTATCCAAAAATACATGTGAATAGGTATACCCCCCCCCCGGGCACATTTAATCACGTCTCTCACGTATCACACGACGTTTTTGTTTGTTCTTTTCTGAAATTGACTATTTCGCATTCCAAAGAACCCACACCACTTAGTTATGTAGCCTAGACAGTCCTGTTTGATCAACATATCTTTGTAGTCAAAACTAGCCATACCTTTTCTGACTAAACATAGTAGAAAAACTTCAAAATAATTGCAGTCAAGGACGTTAGGAAAAGGGTTCAACAGAAAGAATGCCAAACCACTACATGTAAGAAAGGGCATGTTTAATTATGATTAGGAAAATGGTATTTTTAGTTCATGTCAACAATAGAATGTTTGCAATCAAAATTATTTGATAGTTTGGGGGTGTCGTTGTTGAAAATTACAAATATAAGGATAGTCAAATTCTGTTTCTCTCTCTTCTCTCTCTCTCTGTCTCTTTCTTTATCTTTCTCTCTGTCTCTCTCTCTCTGTCCCAGCCCCCTCTCTCTCACTCTCTCTCTCTCTCACTCCCCCCCCTCTCTCTCTTCGCACACCCTCAATAGCCACATGTTGCAGAATTACGGGCTATGTTTACCACAGGTGGCGCACAGCCATTTTACAGGAGTGCCCAGCCTGTTTGAATGGTGCAATATTCTCCTTGTATTTGCATTGACTCAGTCACGCCGCAAAGTCAAGAAGGCCACGTATTTCCGGTATCAAACATCACAAAAGGCAAGATCGTGACTGTACACATTCGTCACATGGCAATAATTCACGTGTCTTTGAATCTGCTGCTAGCTTTATTCAGGATCATTCTCAGTGATATTCGATTTCCAAGCAGAGGCAAAATCTTTACCCTTTCCTACCTGTTTTCCTAACTGTAACGTTTTCTAAACATTCTATGGTCATAATTTTCGACATTAGATACCTCTTGGATTTCTAAAGATACGACAATGGCATAGCTTTGGGCCTCCTAGCAGCTTTCTTGGAACTGCAGGGGCCACTTTTGTTTGAGATTTTCACAGAGAATCTTTGAGATTCTGAGAGATCGTCATTAATTTTGGTGTATCGACAGCTTGATATATAATAAAATTGTGGAACTCTATTTGTCTATTCATAGACCTACTAAGAGATATTTCTGACGCGTATTACGTATATGTGTATAATTCTCTCTAGCAGCTTTTTTATAACTGCAGAAGCTGATTTCGTTTGAGACGTTGGGAGAGAATCATTATGACTTTGACTTTATTATCAAGAATTAGTTCATTTTGGGGAGTACACAGCTTATGTTATAAGTAAGGGTGTGGAACTGTATTTTTCTATCTATAGAAACTAGAAATACTCCTTACAAACCATACGTCACCTCTGAGTCAGGGATTTTTTACTAGTCAATATCGAAACGGTGAACCGGTGAAAATTTTCACTTTTGTGCACAAGAACTTGAAGTAGCGACATGTATAGCTTTTTGCACGGTTTACTCGTACTCCAAAAGATACGGTTAAATAGGCATAGGCATATTCCAACAGGTGTTCGGTCACTGGACCGCAAATCTAAATACAGTTCTTCACGGCACATCGAGCTGTATTTGAAACCCTCGAACTGATGAAACAGAACTCGTCATACTATATTGACCGTAGTAAATGGCCGTTTGTCGTCCGGTGTTTGGTTTTACGTCAAGACGCCAGCTGCGTCCGGGTGGGACAACGTCAACCATTCATTCTGAAAATTCGTACGTAGGGTCGGTGGCGCACACATACGTAATACGTTCCACACCCTTACTATATAAGCTGTGTACTCACCAAAATTAATGACGATCTGTCAACTAATTCTTGATAATTAATAATTCTCTCCCAACGTCTCAAACGAAATCAGCTTCTGCAGTTATAAAAAAGCTGCTAGAGAGAATTATACACACATAAGTAATACGCGCCAAAAATATCTCTTTCTGTTACCTTCTAAAATGAATGGATGGACGAATAAATGACTAAATTAGTGATCAAATGAGTGAATGAATCAAAGGGTTTGATTGTAGTGCCTTTGATTGACTGATAAAAATTGCAGAGGTATTTATGACAGGAAGTTGTTGAGTGTGATTGGCATACATAGAAGATATATTTACTGTGTGTCTCACAGCCCCCTTCGATACACACACACACACAAGCACACACACATACACACACACACATACACACACACACAAACAAACACACACACACACTCACTCACAAACACACATACACACACACACACATACACACACACACACACAAATACACACACACATACACACACACACAAATACACAGACACACACACACACACACACACACACACACACACACACATACACGCTAACACACACAGACACACACACGCTAACACACACACACACACACTCACACACACAAACACACGCGCGCGCGCACACAAACACACACGTTGACACACACACATACAGTAACACACCCAAAAATTTACCTCGTAATACAGGTACTTTCCACAAATCCTTTTTCCCGCACTTCCTGTTCATTTAAGCCTTACTTAGAACTCAGACGATGATGGACACCCATGAGAGAAGACATTATAAACGTTGCTACCTGTCAGGGTCGAGGAATGTCAGTAGTATTGTAGCAGGGTGGGGCAGTTATGTTTCCGTATGCTTTTGTAAAACGACAAATTCTTACGTGTTTCGGAACACAGATAAGATTCTTACCCCCATTCTGTCAGTTATGATGATATGATATGGTGTGATACAAACATTTGGGTTGTAATATTTAAAGAAAGCATTACGAAATCGGTACAGCTGTGAAGAACGAAAAGAATCCCCCCATTCACTGCATATATGTAGACTCATTTCAGTACTCTGACGTAACCACAGACATTTTATAAGCAAAAGAGTCTTTAGCTTACTTATAATAGTTGTTATAACGCAAATACGACGTTGGGGAAAAAATTGTCCCTGCCCCACCCCCTTCAGTGCATATATGTACACTCATTTCCTTTGTACTCTGTCGTTACTAAAATGGCCTTTTATAAGGAATAAAACCTTTAGCTTACTTATAATAGTTGTTATAACGCAAATACGACGTTGGGAGGGGGGGGGGTACAACAACAACGCTATATAACACTGACATGTGATATCTTGCCACTGTTCCTTTAAGCGAATAGCAGGTCTTGTGCGTCCAATTAAAGCCAAAAACCCGCTACTCATATATACGGCACTCTTTCATCACATTTCCACGCCACGCGCCAAAAATATTCACCCGGTTTTATGTCAATCCTGCCACCACCTATTTAACTCGGCAGGTGAACCCTTCCTAAGGCCACAGCAAGTAATTTTTATGGATGACATCAGCGCGCGCATTAATTTTCGCCCGATTTGGGGGGAAAAACAAGACATTTTGTTGCCCTCTGACAGTGTTCAACATGCCGAAAATAGGCAAAGATGACTGTTGCCATGCCGGAAGGTGGATGGCAGATAACTATGAAGAGAGGAGACAAGAAAAGGCTCTGATTTAATGTTTTGTTTCTTACTTTGATGCAGTGATATGTGATGCTGGCTGTGTATATGTGATGTTCCCACTGAAGCAAAACCATTTGTACAATGATTCAGTCAAAATTCTAAAATGTAGGAACCTTGTTTTTTTTTCGATCAGTCTTGTTTTTTTTTCGCCCGCTCGCATTAGATTTGGAGTCTGTGGATGATGTTATCCATAAAATTTACTTGCTGTGGCCTAAGTCTCCCAGCTCAAAAACTAAACCCCTCTCCAAAACCCAGCTTTCTTCACAAGAGATGAAGTGTACAAGAAATTGGCCCTTCTGTCGAAACTCGACCACGAATGTCGGAGTCGATGACCGAATATAGTGTGCTTGAGTTAACACATGAGTACTCAAACCACGTTCATATACACCTATACACTACAGGTGCCACTTTCAATGCTACAGGTGTACACTCAAACACCCCACTTCGGCTTGTTTTTCCAGGTAATACCTAACCTGCGTGATCTTTACCTTTAGAAGAATGCCAGCCTGAGGGATCTTTCTCGCAGACGAAAGGGAAGGATAAATTAAATCAGCATATCAAGGTGTTTATGTAAGAAGCCCTGGCAGACACACGCAGACGATATTTTTGGAACGGAGGGGATTTGAATAAAACCTGGCGTCAAAAACGCATTTGGCTCGGCTCGCTATAGCGGATTTACCGAATGCTCTATCTATTTGCTGAGCCGTTTGAATGGGGATGTTTATACATATTTGTAAAACAAGACCCGTACATTACAATACCAGAACACAAGAGTCGTAACATACCTTGTGTAGCAGCAGTGGTGGTTTCTGAAGCGGAGTACCGTAAGCAAAGAAGCAGAGTTCCCAGAGCTAGTATTCTCTCCCTGCGCCTTGCCGACATCTTGGCTTGCTGATTCTTTTGTCCTTAGAATGGAAATGCCGAGTGCAAGGTCGCCGCGGTAGAACCCGGTGATGCGCCGCTCTGCAACTCAACAGCGTGGCGGAGTGCAAAGCCCGAGCACACGATCAATAGAGCCTTTGTTGCAAGAATGTCGTCAGTCGGTATACCGTGTCGATGCGTTGGGGAGTCAGGCCTGACCTAAAAACAAGCCCAGTCGCTTGATTTTCCCTCAAAAACAAGTTAGATATCCACCACTTGTTGAGTCAGTTGTGAAGTTGAGCAAAATCCGAGGGTAGCTGTCCGTAATAAAAGGTTCGGTGGTACCCGGAGCGCGGGAAACAAAAAACGTCGTCTGCAAGTCACACACAGCCTGAGCGAACTGGCACCGCCTTCCGCCCCTCGCTCACGTGTTGGACTGGCTGACAGGAATTGTGGTATCCTATCGTCTGCGGATGACGCTGAGGTGGTCTCTGTGAGTCACGGAGCGACGTTATGCCGCAAAAACAACGCCCGCAACCTCACCGTGGTGTGTGTTACTCACACGCATGTAATATGCAAACACAACTCACACACTCAGGAAGTAGGCGTTACACTAGAGTGTCGTGCCTTCGCGTTGCGTCAGGCTTCATTGCCGATTATTCAAGGGGTTGCGGTTGCCTAGGCGACGTTGTCGTTGCCGTGGCGACGTATACTAAAGGTATCCAGGCAACAGGCCGAAGGTCGGCCCTACTTGACATCGCAAACACGAAGAAAAGAATCTCCGTGAGTTGGTTTTCTTTGGTTTATAAAAGAAACAGGTGACTTCTAGTCTTCAAAAAAAGGCCGATTTACAACTATCATACCCCCGTTATGCAAATAATCTAGTCTGTAGCAAATAACAGAAAGATAATGTCATAATTAAGACAAACAAAATATCAAAACTATCATCACAAAGTTTGATGCTGCATTACAATAATAAAAATTATCAACATTAAATATGAATATTACTAATACTGAATGAAATCGCTTGATAACCTTAGCAATAAATGTTTATGACTCTTTAGTAGAAATAAATTGCTAAGTGCTTTTGCAGCTGAGACAATAGATTATACTGTACTCTATCTGTAAGTAAATGGGTAAATTACTACAATCTATCATGATATGTTTCAGAAAACGCATGACCTAGTGTTCTAGCCTCGAAAAGCAGGCTTCGTAGTTGGGCTACGTTTTTCCATTTTCTGATGGCCTATTCGTTTTATGGTAGCTAACATATTTCTCAGTTTATACTGTTGTCAGAAAACGGACATGCTGTCAGAAAACAGCACGTAAGCCATTAAAGCTGCCAAGAAGCCTGCAATGCGAGGCTATATTACTCTATAACCACATGTGAATACTAAATACACTTTTTTATCCTGTCAAAAGGGAAACGGACATACTATCAGAAAACAGCACTTGATAAGCCGTAAAAGAACCCAGCCAAGAAGCCTGCGATGCGAGGCTATGTTACCCTATAACCAACCACCTGTGCATACTAAATATACCCTCTTTTTTATCCCGTCAAAAAAGGTCAACACACCACCTGTCAGAATTAAAATGGACCCGCCCAACCTTGGGAATCAGAGGTTGACAGTATGCAAGGGCTCATCCATTGTGTGCTAAAGGGGGAGGTTTCTTTTATAAGAGGTTAACAGGTTAAAAAATTAATGAAAAATTCAGCTCCTCAAAAGCGAGAAAATGCCTACTCTCTACTGACTAGACCAGTCAAATATTTCATTGGAAAAATATTCAATATGCTCGTTGTTTACAGGAATCAAAAATTGAATCTTCTATTTTTGTGATGAAAATGTTCTTGTGAGGATTTCGCTGTATACAAGGATATCATATGGAAAGTATTTATGAATAACCATGCAAAAGCATATTACCCTACATTTTTCCTAGATTAGTCTGCGCGTATGTAAACAAAATATTCGGACAGACGATTTTAAAGTATTTTTTTTTCTGATCCCCAACATCACAAAAGATAAATGGATTTATAGTTGAGCTGTTGTTGTCTTTTAGTTGGGAGGTCGTCTTGTTTCTTTGCATCACAAACGGTTCCAGACAGCGGGAGACCAATTTATCAAGTCGTGACCTTTTCCGGACCGTGCCGAATCCGTCCGCCATTTTTATTCCAATCGCCCGGATGAAAAGAACATGGCGGCGGCTCACAGTGCCCGGATGAAGAGAACGATTGTTCTGCAAACGAGGCGAAACGGACGCACAAGAAGAATTTTGATACAGTATGAGGGGATTTTAAAGCACTGAAAACAACGATTTTTTATAAATAATAGGTAAAAGAAGGCCACAGCAAGTAAATTTTATGGATGACATCCTCCGCAGGCTCCAAATCTAATGCGAGCGGGCGAAAAAAAACAAGGCAGGCCAAAAAAATAAGGTTCCTACATTTTCAAATTTTGACTCAGTCACGTCATTGCACAAAATTTTTGATTCAGTAGGAACATCACATATACACAGCCAGCATCAAATATCACTGTATCAAAGTAAGAAACCAAACATTAAATCAGAGCCTTTTCTTCATATTCGTCAGCCATCCACCTTCTGGCATGGCAACAGCTTCTCTGCCCATTTTCGGCATGTTGACCACTGTCAGAAGGCAACAAAATTTCTTGGGTTTTTTTTTCCAAAATCAGGCGAAAATTAATGCGCGCGCTGATGCCATCCATAGAAATTACTTTCTGTGGCCTTAGCATTGTTTCCACGTTTTATGAATATGCCATTTTTACATGAATCATGAGAAGTAATATAACCCATACCGTCTCTGGATCAAAATGAGTTAATGCTTTATATCTGAATAATCTATTAGTACGTAAATACTTAGATAATACTGATACCTAATACTTCGTAAATAAAACAATAGAATCTTTGTAAACGCCCATATATGCGTTCAACTTCTTGTATTGTATTTGTTTAATTTCTAGCTAGGGCCTGAGCTCTTTTTAAGTATCCTAACGTGTTTTGGAACTTCTTGCCAAAACAGCCAATGCAAAAAAAGCACGTTTTTTCCAAGGACGACACAATAAATTAAAATGCTTATATACAAGTTGCTTGGTTGACATTAGAAGTTTATGACAACTGAATATATTCTTTTTTGTCTTGCGTTTGTGAACAAGAATGAAACCCATGTTCAATTTCAAACGTTGGATGCCTTCAAAAGTTTAAAACTCCCGCCAAGACTAACCGTCCACACGGCCTTATAAGGACTTCTGTCTTCGTGCCACCTGAGCGGCGGCTGCTTTGATATGGAAATCGTCTAAAAATAGTCCACTATAAAGGTAGAGGCGACTTCCCGGTAACATAAGACAGAAGCTAGCTTTTAGCAGGATGTGTCAGGTGCGTTTTCGTCGCTGAGGCTCAAAGTTAAAGGTCAAAAAGATAGAAGGATTTATGAAGCGCATCAGGCGGGAGAGGGAAAAGAGCCTGGCTGCGTGTGTTATTGTAAATGATCGCAGGTGACCCCAAATGGAACACGCGTTCGGTTCGAATTGGTCGCGTGGGTTTATTGTAAATGACCGGACGTGACCCCAAATGGAACACGCGTTCGGTTCGAATTGAATTGCGTGGGTTTATTGTAAATGACCACAGGTGACCCCAAATGGAACACGCGTTCGGTTCGAATTGGTTGCGTGGGTTTATTGTAAATGATCGCAGGTGACCCCAAATGGAACACACGTTCGGTTCGAATTGGTTGCGTGGGATTATTGTAAATGACCACAGGTGACCCCAAATGGAACACGCGTTCGGTTCGAATTACCCAGATCGAACGCGATTTAACCTAGTTCGGCTTCTAAAAAGGGTGGGAACTTTGGGGCCCAAATTTGACAGCCGTGGACTCCAGATGGAAGTGTCAATCCAGCCCTGAACTACGTAGTTTATTGATTAAGACCAAATGTTCGTGATTTGTTAGAATGCAATGGTTTATAAGTATCGTTGGTGTATGTATATTTTATAAGAAGTGTCTGCTATGAAGTACTAGGTTGATATTAAGGTTTTCGGTTTTACAGAGCAGCAAACTGCACTCCTTTAGCGGACCAACTCTCTTGGAATGTTATCTTTCTATTATGCCAATTTCTACTTTTTCCTGTTACCCCAGAAGCCTGATAGAGGCTATCCCTGCCCTACGCCTCCCGCGAATGGCAATGCGCTAAAAGCGCCACCTGGCGGACTTATGAGTTATGGCAACATGTTTGTACCGAACAACACCGGTATGAACTGGTTCCTGACGATGACGTACACTTGCCATATTTGGTTACCCTGTAATAAAAAGTACGGCGTCCATACGGTACGTAGGAACAACTATTGTCTCCCAAGATGCCGTGTTCGAAGATGTTCATTCTCTTCACTCTAGCCGCAGTGTTGGTCATACATAAAGGTTAGTTGCAGTTTTACTCGAATAGACACTTTTTTAAAGAAAGACAAAGGTTTGATTTATTAAAATTGCAACAGTGCAATACACGCGGAACAGAGGCAGCTGTTGCTGGTGTTGTGTCCCACACATAGAAACGAATACTGGACAGACAATTCTCATTTTCACTGGATTCTAGTGGGGAAAGTCGTGTAAAGTGCCTTTCCCAAGGGCACGTGCAAGATCGGTGGCATGTCAGGACTCGAACCCGGGACCTCTTGGTTCCGAGTCGAGCACGCTGCCGTTGCGCCACACGACCCCACTGAAGGTTACAACAACTCTTGCCAAAAGCACCAAAATTTGTACGACGACTATATCCCCTAATCCCAGTCACGTATGTCTTATCATCTTATACATTTGCACAAAGTTATAGCCGGCTTTCTATGTAACTTATTAGGCCATGTTGAGTTGATTATATGGATGACATCCTCTGGGAACCCCAAAACTGATGCGCGCGTGCGAAGAAAAAAAAAGTTTTGCAAAAAAAAAAAAAAGTTGCTTTCATTATGAAATCTACGTGGTCTAGAAGGTGGAACAAATGGCACAGAATATATTATGGCGAATAATCTACTCTTCGAATTCATTTCTTTACATTTTTGTCCTTTTTCCTTTGATTTTGGCATTCTACGACATTGGTATCGTTTTTAAATGTTTTCCTTGCAACTTATGGTATATTTCTGCTCATTTAGCAACTGTTTTGCACGATTTACAGTATGGTTGAAAACTTTTTTTTTTTGAAACGGCCGAAAATTCATGCGCGCGCGGATGTCATCCATATAATCAAATCAACATGGCCTTATGAAGATTAAAGAGGAACTTGGAGGACCCAGGGTCCTCCACCAATAAAGAAACTATCCCCTGTGAAGATCTAGTAGCTAAATTGACCCCGCACATCCTCCCAACATCATAAATGGATTATAAGCCACGGGGTGTCTGAACCCGACTGCCAGTGGAAACAATGGGAGCAGACGACAGACAGTGATTTGCATATTAACTGACGTTTGAAGGTTTGAAAAATGTTGTATTTTTAATCTTCACTAGTTTTTCAACAAAACATTGCCATACATGGAATGACACAGACAGTTGCAGCAAACCTAAACACAATCCATGTAACATTTACTTGGCAGTCGTTATACACGATAAGGGCCTACAGTTTCCAATTTGAGCAGAGATGAGCGTCTGTCAAGCTTCCATGTTTGTTTCAAAAACGTATATCTGTAATCACAAATTGCACGTCTTATCCACAGCCAAACTAGATTTCTATTGATATGATAGTTGTATGGAACTTAACAAATATACAATGTAGAAATATGTAGAAACACATTTGGCGTCTTCTTGCATTATATATTAGAATCCAAGTCTGAAATGCTGAATAGATGAAGTCCCAGTTTACCAGGATTGGCATAGTACATGCCTGTGTAGTTATTAGTCTATATTCTTGTTGTTTAGTAAAATATTATATGTACTTTTCATGTACATATCCATGTCTCGCTCCACATAATGTTGAAGAGGTGTACTTGGTATACTATCTCAGCCTAGCTCTCCCCATGTGTTCACCACGGCTGCCAGTTGCAGAATGAGCTGTGAGAGTTTACAGTACCCGAATTTATTGGGTGGTTTTATAGTCCAACCTTCCTCTTTAAGTAAAGTTTTAATACAGTGTTACTTTATTATACATGTACAGTTTAATCATTATGGCATAGTGGATAAAACCCTTTTAAGTTTTGTCCCGTCGGCCTCGAGCTCTCAAATTTTCCGCTTTGTGGGGTCGTGTGGCGTAGCGGAAGCGTGCTCGACTCGGAACCAAGAGGTCCCGGGTTCGAGTCCTGTCATGCCACCGATCTTGTGCCCTTGGGAAAGGCACTTTACACGACTTTCCTCACTCAAGTAAAAATGAGTATTGTCTTGGCTTGGCTTGTCCTGTATTCGTTCTCTGTGTTGGTGGCTGCATAAAATAAGTTGATATAACTTGAGTGTACTGTCACCATGTCTAGTCATAAAATGTTGAAATATGTTGGAATTGTTGGATAATGCTCTGGAACCTTTGGTTTACCTTTTTTGGCGACGTCTCAGGGAGGAGCCTAATGGTACAGTGTTGTGTGCAATTCGCAATAATTCAAGGAACTGTACAGGCATTTAGTCCACAGGAATGGAATGTCCACAGGCATTTCCCTGACCCACATCTATGCCCACATTCCTGGAAACCCTTGGAAAGACCCAGAAGACCTGTCTGCCACGGATGGCCCTACTTTCTGTGACCCCGGGGCTCTTTCACTATACACTCGGGGGAGGAGTGCACTGTATCTGTCTTGCTCAAAATCATGAAACGATGGCAGTGCCATGCAAACAATAACCCTAACATGAACCACCGTCGCCATGGCAATGTATGTTTTCATTGCCAGTCTTACAATATGATTGTTTCATTTGCAGTCCACGCTGAGCCCCGTGACGGCACCAGATGCCCCGCCTACCCGCTGAACCTAGCCTGGGGCTGCGCCTATCAGGACGCCTGCTTCTCCTTCAGACTCGGCCAGGGCCGGCTGAACTTCCTGGGGCTGGCCGGCTGTCCGGACGGAACTATCTGCTGTCCGGGACCGTGTGGACATCGCTGTCTCACACCCGTCTAACTTCGTATGGTAATAAAAGTTTACTAGCTTCACGAACTTAGCTATTTAACTATTCATTAACTACAGATTAATGTTATTCATAATTTGATACAGTCATTAGGGCAAGTGTAAGGCATGAATTATCTCTTGTGAGATTTTATTTTCGGTAGAAAGCGAGAAGTGCTTCGAATTCTATCAAGATTGTAATTTCATTTTGGACAGTATGTATATATGTACACGGTCATTTGTAACCGAACAAGCTTTCGAGTTTAAATAAAGGCTTACTACACCTAGTGATTATGAACTAACTTATAGTACACTAGGACTAGGACGTTTTATTACCACCTTACTGAGTTGCGGCAGTATATAGTACTTTTACTTTTATTTGTACTAAGTTGACTTTAATTTGTACTTATAAGTTGACTTATCATTTTGTTATATCTGTTATTTTCTTGTATATTTTATTTATGTATGCCTGCAGGGCACATTGAAAAACGCCTTAGTGGCGATATGTACACCCTGGGTAAACAAATAAAAACAAACAAACAAACGTGGGAAACTCCATATGTATTTATATTAAACTGCTTACATTGTGTAAACAGCAACCACGTAACGCTAGAGAAAATTATCTGTCAATGATTGGCAAACAAATTTAAAAGAAACGTGGAACAAGATATGAACAATTTATTTTTCAACCTTTTAATACTAACATACATGTAACTTTCAAAAGAGTACCAGATTACCATGGAACTTGCTACATGATTTGTGCTAATAAATACACAATACAAATAGTTCTTAGATATCTAACACACAATGTAATCCATGTTAAAACGTGGTAAAGTTTTAGTGTCTTTCACAACATAATTAAATTACATTATGATGATTGGATTTTAATTTTCCATCTAGGCCCAAGACACTCCACCGAGGACAACGCTGTCTTCAGAAGACTCCAGAGGGCACACAAAATTTTCGACGGACACCCTTATTTGGAATAGATCGATTCTGCTTGTCTGTCACAATTAGCCGTTTCTATTTTTAAACAAACCATATACTATAACTTACCAGGGGAGTTGGTCCGCTAGAGGAGTACAATTTGTACCTCCTGAACGGTACTAGTTTAGCGGACTGACTCCCCTGGCGTGTTATCCGTCTATTTGGGTAATTTCTAATTATAACAGCCGCTTCTCAAGTCTGGTATAGGCTAGGTATGCCCAATAACCGAGACGGGGGCTACTACATACACATACTGCAGGACCATAGCTGTTAATTCATCCCCCAAGACCTGTTACAGCATTGGGCTGGGGGGCGTTCCATTTGTAGATGTAAAACCTTCTCTTGAGACAATAGATTGTAGTATTACTGTATACACATATTGCAGGGTCATAGATTATACAGTATTACTGTATATAGATGTTACAGGACCATAGACGTTAGATTATCCCCCACGACCTGTTACAGCATTGGGATGGTGGGACGTTCCAGTTGTAGATGTAAGACCTTCTCTTCAGCACTTCCTTCGGACAGAGTCTGCCCGTCTCGATGACCTGCTTGTACTGGGCCTTCATGCCCTCGTCGTACACCTTGTGGTTGATCAGGTAGTCGTCCATGCAGCCGCGAGACTCGTGCTCCGAGTTGAACCTGCGAGAGAAAGCGAGAATTAGCGAGAGATCATGACGAGAAATGGCGAGAATTCAATTAAAAAAGGAAGCAATGCTACTAAATTAGGTACTGAAGGGACACAACCAAAAAAATTAGGAAAAGAGAGGGTCTGGGTTAACATTTTTCGAATGGAATTGTCTCTAGATGTTGAAGGACTGTAGTGATGACGTCATTTCTTTCTTGGTCCTGTGATCGAACGCGTTGATGACCTGTTAATTCATCTTAGATGTCAAAAAGAAAACATATTGGCAGGATATAAGAGATTCATTTACTTGACCACACTAGTAAAGTGAGTTTTAACCGTCCAATCCATTTTTATCATTACCAAGATGGCGAAAGGTCCAAATGGAACAGGAAATGACGTCACACGGAAATGCCTTCCTACTTCCGCTATCATTAACCTTGGATCATGCATACTCAACCAAATCGAACAGGAAATGACGTCAACTATAATCGTCATTCCACTTCCGCTACCATTGACCTTGGACCATGCACACTTAACCAAATCGAACAGGAAATGACGTCACATAAACGTCATTCCACTTCCGCTACCACTCACCTTGGGTCGTGCACCCTGAACACGTCCAGCGGAGATAGCCACGCCCCCATGGACACGTCCTCACTTTTGTACGGTTTCAACCAATGAGCGTTACGGGCTATAAAATGCGCCAAATCCGCAGACAAGATGTAACCGCCTCCAAACGCGTAGGGAAGATACGTATCACACAAGAACCAGTCCTTTTCTTCGTATATTCCTTCCTTGTGAACAGGAGACTTGCCGCTAAAGAACCCCCAGAAAAGTTTCGTCTGGACGTCTCTTTCTTTAAGTTCCTTCTGAAGGAGTTCGGTTCTCACAAATGTGTCGTCATCTGTCTTTAAGACATACTGGAAGTCCACGTTTTCGTCCAGCCACTGAAAAGTTTTTAACACCTTTGCTGCTAGTCCACCGTAAGAATCACTGAAGTCCCACAGAAAGACCAAGTCGCCATGTTCTTTGTTTTCCTCGACGAGAAGGTCTGTTGCGTTCTTGTCCAAAGACTTCATGCCTATGACGAAACGCTGAATAACGTTCTCGTCTGCCAGTTTGAACCAAGTCTCTCTTAGCGTGTTTCTTCTCCACACATACTTCGGTCCCGTCGGTATAAGAATAACCAGGAACGCTTTGAGTCGTTTTGAAGAGGTTGTTACCGACTTTTCTTCGATCACCTCATTCACCGATATCCCTCCAAGTTTCCTTATCACCTCGTTCCCGTATATACCGCGGAGTCTGCGTATTCCCAGGGTTCCGTGCGGTTGGTTACTAGCCTGGCATTTCAGTACGGCTTGTGTGGCGATGTACAGGACAAAAAGTAGCATGGCGAGGAGCAGGGGCATCAAACGGCGGGAAAGTCTGGTGCACATGTTGGCCGGAAGTACTTCTGAGTTAGTGGACATTAAAAAGCAGAACCTAAAAAGAAAAAAAAACAATAAAAATAGGGCACAACAATTGGAACAAAATATGGAATCGACAAGACAAAGATGACATTTTTATTATTTTTATTATATAAAAAAATTTTTTTTGCTCCGTTTCTCTTCCGTTCTGAACATATAAAGCCAATGACCTGGACCAGACGGCTGTCACCATGGTAACTGGTGCTGAAGCAGACACCCTGTGTTGAATTACATTATGTAGCAGGACAGAGCTGGAGGGGCTGGTCACCATGTATTTGTATGTGTTTGAGTAAGAATTAACAGAACAGTAGTTTGTTGGGCTAGATCATATGAAGGTAAACACTAACTCTTTCTCAAACACATTCATATACGTGTATATTGTGACCAGCCCCTCCAACTCCAAATGTCTTGCTACATGTAACCCGACACCACAGGGTGTGTGCTACAGCACTTGCCAGTTACCATGGTGACAGACGTCTGGTCCCGGTCATTGACCTCGTGTATTTGGCACAGAAGTAAAAAAAAAAGAGCAAAAACAATATGTTTTCCTTCTGTGAACAATATGTTTTTCTTCAGCGGAAAATATGGGAAAAAGCTATGCTGCATTTTTTTCGGAATATCAATTGTGTAATCAAGCATGTACATATAATCAACAATACATACATAAAAACTGGAGCGGCAACTTCTGGGGCAGGCAAGTGGCATAGTTTTATTGACAGTAAAAAAAATGTGGAAAGAGCACATAATTAAAATCCCATTTCATCATCCACATTTCCCCCGAAACCCCCTGTTTATCTGTAGTGACCTCATTTCATAGCTCTTGAAATTTTCTTGGCAAATTCACATATACTAGTATGTCACATTTATACTCCACATCGGTTTTCTACATTAGAAACTTTGGAATACACTACAGGACAATACTTGATAAATACTTGACGACAACTACTTAGTAAAACTGTACGAATTCAATAGAATTGTATTGACAATGTAAATGTAGTGCACAACATCTATTATGTAATAGTATATTAACCTGACATATAAATGTAATTGTAGTAAACGCACGACGACCAGGCCGGATATTCTAGCTTGTTAACGTTTGGCCACAACATCTGTTATGTAGTAGTACCGGTAGTATGTCTATCTGAATTGTAACTGACACTGTTAACTGTTCCGAATTGTTTATGTTCTTGTTGTGAGGGCTAGCCCTTTATAATAGCCTCCGGCTAGTTGGGCAGTCCTGGCTGAATACATATGTGTTATCAGCCTAATAAATCAAATCAAATCAAATCTACTTTTACACTATCATGGTACCGGTCTTAAAACAGAATACACACAAAAAAAGGAATCTTCAAGCAGATCATATGGTGGCAGAGCAGTATCCATTGGCCAGAGGAGTGTACATTAACTACCTACCATTCGGACTGGCCGTACAAACTCCTCTGGCTAATGGATACTGTCTTGCCACCGAAAAGGACCTTGGCATTCTTGTAGCTGTATAGAGTGAGTGTCAGACAGATAATTATATGTTTGCCGAAATGATACTAAAATGGCGTCTAGTGTCCAGGCTGTCTTTTCAGGCACTGTATAAGTACAGTACCAGTATTTACAGGTTCAATGTACCGGGGAAATATCCTCTAGCTCTTTTCGACAACCGCAATGAACAGTGGACCACAGCTTAACGTCCCGTCCTAAGGACTCTGACCCTATGCAGTAGCGTGCATGTTGGGTGAGTGACAGTTGACCACAAACTCCCAACCTCACGTCCACTGGTTCTTTCGTCCTCGTTATGTAGGAAACTGAAGCATTCAGCAATGTTGCTACCAACATTTCTGTCGTTGTACACATCTACTTTTGTTGTCATTTTTCCTGACATTTGTGACGTTTTTAGCTTGTTCAAACGCAAACAATTGTTGACAGTGATGTCCTCGGTGTCGGGCCGGGGGGAGGGCTCACCGCCGCCGCCGGCAAAACTCGCGACACCCGACCTACCTGCGATTTCTCACTTATTGTCAGAGACATTTTGATAAATCTTTGATGAAACGTAGACGAACTACACACGTAATATTGGTCGACAACAACAAAGTTTGAACAACAAAAACAATTTACAAGAAAGCAATTCAAAACATCGTTATATTACCTACCTGTCTGGCAGTGGAATATTGCCTTGGGGAGTCTGAGAAAGTCTGCTGGGTCCTGTGGTCTGAATTTAGGAAGAAAAGACGCTATAATTGTACCCTTTCGTACAAAATAAGCTTGATTTATGCACTGTATGTATTTGAGTAAGACAACATACAGTCAGAACATGCCACTGACACTGCGCATGCGCGCCAAAACCGGTTTATCCAGTGTATGACGTCAGTTCAGTGAAAGCTCCCCCCCCTCAAAAAAACACAAACTCACAAATTTTAACCAAAACAATGATAAAATACGTACTTTGATTCATTTAGAAGATCAAGGATTCAGGTTGCTATTCTCTTCGATTCAAATGTGGCATTTTCAAATGACACGGTTTGTTATGGATCATTACAGCGATTAAATCAGTGTGAGTAATGACGTAATTTTCCTAAGGCGATTGTCCTATGCAATTACTATCACCAAGGACGTGCATTCACCAGTTTCCAATCCCCAGAATGCAATGCGAAAACAGGGGGTCTGACCTCATTTGCATAGGACAGGAATGCATCGAAATGATCCTGGTGACGTCAAAAAGCTTGTTTTTCACTGTGTTTTGAAGTGTTGGGGCATTTTATGCTCAACATTAATTAAATTACTATGGGTCGAATATGACAACAAATAGGGAATGAAGTTTTTGTGTTCTTTTCAACATGAAACATGTGGTTTGTAACGTTACAGCATCAGTATACTATACGTTACAAACGAATTAAAAAAATTCATTCTCTATTTGTTGTGAGATTAAACCCATAGTAATCTAGTTAACGTTGAGCATAAAATGCCCCCAAACCTCAAAACACACTGAAAAACAAGCTTTTTAACATCAACAGGATCATTCCGATGCCTTCCTGTCCTATGCAAATGAGGTTGGACGCCCTTTTTTCGCATTGCAGTCTGGGTATGGGAAACTGGTGAATAGGACCTCCTTGCTATCGCATAATAAGGGTATAGAAAGAATGTAAAGCCACCAATCAAGACACTAAAAGCATCCAATTTCTTTTTAATAATAAGGAAAATTAAGATATATGTATACAATAAGTTTTGTCGACACTGGTAGGATTTGTTCAGCTTTTGGTGGCATCTTTGGGGTCAAATCTTCAAGGTCATTTAATCCTGCGTGCCAACCAGTTTTTCTTGTTGACTGGGGAGGGCAGAGTGTCAACAGTGGTGGCTCATGGTGGACGAGTTAGTGACGGAATATTTAGTACAATCGTTTTGAGTAGCGTCCTATTGGACTAATAATGGCGTTGCAGGGATGTTCCTGATTTCTAGCAATATCAAGGTAAGTTCTTAATAGCTTTGGTGTGCCAGCACAGGGATACACTGTGCTGTAGTGCATATTATGTTGAAGTTTTAGCCTCCGCTATGCCTTCCGAATCTTTAATTGCAGGTTCGTGCCCGTGGGGCTAAATGCATACATCAGAGTGTGATGTTACATGTACATCGTACTGAGTAATATGATACATATGATACAAGGATAACAGAATAACGTAAAAGTCTTAACAACTACTAGAGAATGAACTAATCTAGGCCTTGAAGATTTCTTCTCTCTTTTTAAAGCAATTGGAGATATATTCACATAGTTTTTCTATTGTATTATCATTACTGGTGGGCATGAGATAACTGAATACCAGCCTAAGGGGTCATGGAGAGTAGAATTCGGCAAAGTTATTGTGAATAACAGTTGGCTAGGAAAGTGCATCCGCTGGTGAGGGTAACCTTTCCCCATAGATGCATGGGGTAATGAAACCCTCCCATTTGGTTACACGTATTATCATATAGCCAGAAGGCGTCGACCAATCAGAGGGCTCCATTTCCCACTGGTTATCAGGCCATAACCTCAAAGGTGGTCGGTTATTAGAATAGCTGACCACTTTTTGGAAAGTGCCATTATACAGGGGACAAGGTACTAACACTACTGTAAAGACTTGTAGTATTTATCTTTTAAAAACGTATTGTACGTAGTTTATTTTAAATAACTTATTTGAAGAATACAGCACAATTAAAAAGGTATAAATGAAATTGAAACGGAAAAAGACTAAGCATAATTTTTGACACCCCAATAAACGTCGTACTGCTCCAATGTCGCTACGCTCACTTGGTGGTTTATTCGGTGTTTATTGCACCTGACCAGGGATTATTTCACCATATACACCTCGGGGCGGGGCGGGGCATATATATATATGTTTTTTTTTTCAATATGATCTGATAGATCTTCGACTTCATAACATCTTTTTAATTCAGGCCCTGTGACTTTATGCATACGTGACGTCAGCAATGGGTCAAAGGTTGTTGGAAGGCGATATCGCCGCCCGCTCCTGGTTGAACCAACTCAGATTGACTTTCATGCTGAAATAAATGTGACATGTCTGAACAATTTTTATGTAACATTTTACTTAGAGGATCACCCGATTTACACCCAGATACATACTGTAATATTTTGACAATCACCCAAACTGACGTTATTGATACTAAACGGTTTGTATTAGATTAAATCCTACATAGCCTACAGAACATGTTCTTCCTTTAAGTTACCATCTATTGATCCATTTCCACCCATTTGCTGTTCTCTATTGTTTTTTGTCATGTATCTTGTCACTGTATGTCTGGTGGTGAGGTTATTTATTAGCTTAGCTATTTTAGCTATAGCTAGAGTGCCTCACCACCATGTCCAGTATCATCCATGTTGAATTGCAAATTAAAAAAAATGAATGTTCTATTTTCTTACCTAGCCTCACGTTCACCCTCGACAATTTAACAACCTTCCAGTCATGATCACCACTAGAAGAATAAAGCTTCTCTTTTTCGCCATAATGTTCCTCGGTGTCTGGATTTACCTACAGGCACAACAGGCCATAGCTGAGTTATCTATGTCTTTGCTCAAGCCTAAAATGATGGTGGAAGATGGTAGGCGATTTCATCGAAGACTTGTACCCCGTAAGCATATAGATGTGGGGAATAATCAACATTTCGGGTCTCTAGTTCCGTCCAGTCAACCAAGGAACAGCAGATATCCTAGACTTTCAGATGATACAGATTATGGAGGAAAAGAATACAGCCCACCACCTCCAATGCTTTTTATTCATCAACACAACAACGATCAACTACAAAGACGTTCAAAGGGTGGATATCAACGACACCGTACCAATAGGAGAAAAACACGCAAACGACGTCTTTCTAAACTCGTTATCCAACATTCTGAAAGCTCGAACAGTTTTTCTAGGTTTCCTACAGAACGCTGGAACAATATAATGAAATATAATAGTACCTTGCTTAAAAAAGATGGACTACGAACTATGGACAGTACGAAGAAAGGAAGCTTTTCTATGTCAGATCATAAAGTACATTCAGTCGCATCGGAAAATTTTAGCAACTCTGAAAGAGACAGCCGTGGACTTCCTAATGTCGTCGAGGAACTTTTGCAGGACATGGAAATGGACAATCGTGAGGTTGGGACACAGGATACAAACGGCAATGGAACACAAAGTCGACAAACTTCAATGAAAGAAGAGCTTCACAGTAACGTTGTCTCTGAAACTCCACCACGCAGTCCAAAAAACACTGAAAGAGAAAATCGTCACATTTTGAACATTTTGATGAATGATTTGGAAGCAGTGGAAAAGGAGAACAACCTCAACACAATGTATCAAGACAGACGTTCATCTTTAGGGTCTTCTAAGACAATTTCAAGCAGACAAGAAACAGAGCATCACAAACTTTCTCCTGTTTCAATGTTCAAGAAACCAACTGACGTTTTAACAAATGGTAATCAGCATGTCAAATCAGACGGGATAATTTTAGATGACGCTAAAGCAGACCTTCTGCAACTTCAGAACTATCTACGGAATATTTCAGACAAACGAAGAACGAAAGTTCCCGAAAAAGTTGTTCAGAATCCAAACACTCAGACAACTAGGCAAAACGAAGGAGAAACAAGATCCGAAAAAGTGTTGGAAGAATTCTTCAATAAATTCTTCAATGCTTCACGTGTTAAAAGAATGCAGTAAGTTTGAAAACTTTTTTTGTTTTCTTTTCTTTGAGCTAAGGCCACACCGACTTCACTTTATGAATGACATCCGCGCGCATTGATTTTCGCCTGTCCTAAAAAAAAAAGATTACGTCCTCCAAGGCTTTGGCCTGGCTCTAGGCCTGGGAAGTCCATGGCAGTTAACAACAATACAGAGCCGGTGGTAACTCGGGAGGACGGCACCCAGGCTACCGAAACTCCACGACTCAAAAACTCAGTAACGTTACATACGTACAGTGCCGATTCATAAACTCCGCAAAGAAGCCAACATGTGCCGGCTTGTCGTATATGTCGATATGTACTGCCGCAAGGTCACAATACCAGCTTTGTATTCCTGTGGTTTAGAAACATTTTTTGAGGGGCCGGAATTTTTTTATTCGCCCGCGCGCACTAGTTTGGGGGTCTTCAGAGGATGTCATCCATAATAAGTCAGTGTGGCCTAATGGCAACAGCACTAGATGTCATTCCTTCTCCTTCTTAAATTTATATGTATTCAAGGAGTTACACAGATGCAATACTTCTCTAAGTCCTTCTGGAATATTGTTAGATTATTCCAACTATTTTCAGGGGCCCCACGAAGTCTGGTATAGGGTCACTAGCTATTTGTGTGTTTAACAGGTCCAGGGGATGATCTAACTTTCTATCAGACTCTACAAGAAATCAGTTTATTAGTGACTCCAGTGGCCCCGGTTTGCTGTTTAATTTATATTGTTGCATTGTGTTACATCGTATTTACAGACAGTATCATACCGTAAATAATTTCATCAGGTTGGTAAACGAACGAATAGCAAAGTTCTTTGATCACAACAATTTATTTTTCACGAGCCGACATTTCGATGACCGTCTGTCATCTTCATCAGGGCAATTCTGACTGGTTTACTGTGCACTGACGCTAGATGTTACTTGGTGCATATATTGCACTAAAAGGTGACTGATGAAGATGACAGACGGTCATCGAAACGTCGGCTCGTAAAAAATGGTTGTGATCAAAGAACTTTGCTATTCTGTCAGTATCATAGTTTATTGTACCTAGTTGTGTGAATATATTGTTGTGACAAAGTAACGTAATGCAGGAAAAACACACCTGTTCCCTTCCCTGCCAATGTGTGTGCCAACTTTCAAGGTTGCTAGACGTAAATTCCCTATCTGATAATTCCTTAGAACATCTTTTACTTTACGGATCATCATTTTGATGTTTTGAGGCTAATAGTAAAATTATGAACTTTACTCAGAATTTTCGAATTCAATTATTCTACTCGTGTCCTATCAGTGATTCTAAGGGATAGGGGTTGGGACTTGCGCTCGTTGAATTTCATCTACAAAAGCCCAATTAGCTTGTTTCGATTTTGTACATGTTTATTTGTCCATGTATATCTCTGTTTAATCATTTTGTGTAGATGGCGCCGTTAATATACTAGTAAGTTCCACGGAACTTGAGTTCGACGCCATCTCGTATGTTTTTATGTTTTTGCTGTTTTAATAAAAATAACATAAATAATGTGTGTTTGATTGTGCGAGAGAAACAATAAATACATGTTTACTATCCTTCCTACAGGCGCGTCGCCAGGACGTTTTACGACGCACGACGTCACGTCATCAGATTCTCGGACTATGACGTCTTCATGGAGCAATGCGAGAAGCGGGACTTCACCATCATCAACTCCTCCAGGTCTACTTAGCTCATCTCCAAGCAGATCATAGGGTGGCAAGGCAGTATCCATTGGCTAGAAGAGTGTCCATTAGCTAGGTGAACTCTCCTATGGCCAATGGATACTGCGTTGCCACCCTATGATCTGCTTTGAGTTTATCCTTAGCTGCTATCTTGTTAGTAGATGCCATACTTTGTACACTGTACAATTGTTGCGCAATAAAGTTATTTTATCCAACGTGGCGTCGGTGGCGCAACGGTTAGAGCGTTGGACTCGGAACCGAGAGGTCCCGGGTTCGATACTCAACGTTGTGCCCTTGGGAAAGGCACTTTACACGACTTCCCCACCGAGCCTCTTAGGCCAATCTGTCTAACTGTGTGCCAAAAACACCCTACGGATTTGGTCCGCCGATGTGACAATATCTGCACATTGGCCACTGAGAGCCGTTAATTATTTTTTGATCTTATCCAGAACTGTGCCAATGTAGTTCTCTACCTGAAAGGGTTAGGGTTAGAATCAGGCATAGTTCTGGATGGCCTCTATCGTATCCAGAACCGTGCCTATGTAGCTCTTACTCTGTCTCCAAAACGTAGATTTGCCACAGATCTAGACATGTCGAATACGTGTGGACTGTCCAGAACCGTGCCTATCTAGTTCTCTGCCTGAAAGGGTTAGAGTTAGAATCAAGGGTAGGTTCTGGATGGCCTTTTATCGTATCCAGAACCGTGCCTATAGTACTCTGCCTCCAAAAACGTAGATTTGCCACAGATCTAGACATGGTCGAATACGTGTGGACTACTAGTATCCAGAACCTTGCCTATCTAGTACATGTACTCTGCCTTCAAGAACGTAGATTGCCGCATATCTTGGACTCTCGAAATACACATGATTTGGCTTGTCAAAATGCGTGCGGTTTATAGCTAGTTTGCCGCTAATTTACAACCAAGATTATTACCTCCGGGGAGGAGACAGCCTTCCGGGGAAGGGTTTTGTGAGTGATTTAGATTTTCATGTTCGCAGCTGTTTCTCGCGTTTGGGTGGACGGATTCTTTTGAGACTCGGTATATGTTTTGCTATTGGGCTGCAGATGATGCACGTTCTTTTGTTTTTATTGTATATGTGTTTTCGGGCGTGAAAATGGTGCCTTTTGGTGGCCCCAAAACACCCCTTTGAGCGTGAAAGTGGTCGTGACCGTTGACGTTTGGCGTGTTTAAGCTCTTCTCGGTCTGGTCCACGTATACCATATGACCCTCACACAGAGGGGTGTCCGGTCTCGATAAATTCTTTGTTTAAAACCCTATATAAAAATATACAATAAAAAGCCCGGTGTAAAATTTCAGATTTTACTTGTTTATTTTTTATCATTCATTGTCCTCCAGACCCTGTGATGTTGTCACCACCCCCATCACGCACTACCGGACCTGCGCAGTGGTGGGGAACAGCGGGATTCTACTCAACAGCAGCTGCGGGGCTGAGATCGACGCGCACCAGTTCGTCATCCGGTCCAACCTCCCTCCGGTTCTCAAGTTAGTTTTTACCTCCATGAAAAATGGAGGTATTGTTTTTGGTGTGTCTGCTTGTGTGTGTGTGTGTGTGTGTGTGTGTGTGTGTGTGTGTGTGTGTGTGTGTCTGTCTGTGTGTGTGTGTGTTTGTGTTTCCGCATATTTGTAGTCAGCATAACTTCACAACGCCTTTATAGATTGTGATGTTGGTAGGTCTTAGGAAGACAATGGTCAAGGTTAAATATGGGCCTCCTGGTGGCTGACCTTGGTACTGCAGCAGAACTTCCGGTTTTTGTATCTTTTGTCCTGAACATGCTATGGTCTTGAATTTTTGGTGACAGATAGCTTTTCCTGTCAGGAATAAGTGGTATAACTTTGGTTCCCCTAGCAGCTTATTCTGGAGCTGAAGGGGAGTTTCTGGTCAAAAAAAAATTTTAAAGCGGATAAGTCAGGAAAGGAATATTTGGTGTATAGGTAGGTTATAGAGAGATGTGAACATGCACGATTCCCAAATGTACAATATTTACATATTTACATATAATATACATTTGTGAATGCATCTGTAGCAGCGACACCTGTGCTGCAATGCAATGTGAACCAGTCAGAATTGCCCTGAGGAAGGTGACAGACGGTTATCGAAACGTCGGCTGAATAAAAGACTTGGTTGTGTAAAAAGAGTCTCTTCACTCAGCGACTTACCAACCTGATGAAACTATTCACGGATGTACTGTGTAGGGCAGACACCAAATTTGCGTTGCGCAGTAGAGGCCTCAAAATGGGAACACGATTGAAGTGCCTAGTTAATACCTTTAAAAATCCTTTTTTTGTCTTGAAAGTTTTGGTCCATTTTGGAGATTTTTGGGCTGGAAGGCACAGGTAGGGTCTGAACTTTCAAACCTTGGTCAGGTTTTGTTTATTTCACCAGTTTCACCATGAAAAATTAGGTCAAATGAGGTTTTGTTACTATCATCAGCTGTAGCGGGAATTTGAGATGGTCGACCCCCTGTTTCCTTTCCATTTTTGGGAATCAGACCCTTGTGGCTACTTGGTGCAGAAAAATTTTTGAGATTGAAGTATGGGCAAGTACTTTCACGAGGACTTCTAATAGTGTATTTAAGCATGTGTTCCTATGGCCATATCTAATAGTACTGTTTCGCTTTGCAGGTTTAGCAGGGACGTCGGCAGCAAAACGAACCTGAACTTGATCAACGGCATCCGGCTGATTCAAGTCCACGAACAGCTGCAATCTCAGGACCCGGCCGTGAGAGAGAACATGAGGAAACTTCTGGGCGAGTCGCCCGGCATGATATTCAGCTACATCCTCTACATGTTCGGGTCTCAGGCGTTCGACAGAATGCAGTTTGTTGACGAAATTATTAGGAAATTCAACATTTCGGCTACAGTAGCTTTTCCGCACGAGTCACTACTGAGGAGTATCAGGTCCAGGTAAGGAAGCGTTAAATTTACTTTTACTCAGAATTTCGTGTAGAAGAATCGTCTCTGCAAAGTTGTAGTAGTAGCAGCAGTAGAAGTAGTTGTTGCAGTAGTAGTAGTAGTAGTAGTAGTAGTAGTAGTAGTAGAAGTAGTAGTAGTAGTAGTAGAAGAAGTGCATGTAGCAGTAGCAGTAGCAGTAGTGGTAGTAGAAGTACATGTAGAAGTAGCCATAGCAGCAGCAGCAGCAGCAGTAGCAGCAGTAGTAGTAGTAGTAGTAGTGGTAGTCGTAGTAGAAGTAATAGTAGAAGTAGCAGTAGTAGTAGTAGTAGTAGTAGTAGTAGTAGTAGTAGTAGTAGAAGTAGTAGTAGTAGTAGAAGTAGTAGTAGAAGTGCATGTAGCAGTAGCAGTAGTGGTAGTAGAAGTACATGTAGAAGTAGCCGTAGCAGCAGCAGTAGTAGCAGCAGCAGCAGCAGCAGCAGTAGTAGTAGTAGTAGTAGTAGTAGTAGTAGTAGTAGTAGTAGTAGTAGTAGAAGTAGTAGTAGTAGTAGTAGTAGTAGTAGCAGTAGTAGTAGAAGTAGAAGTAGTAGAAGTAGTAGTAGTAGTAGTAGAAGTAGTAGTAGTAGTAGTAGTAGTAGTAGTAGTAGTAGTAGTAAAAGTAGTAGTAGTAGTAGTAGTATTAGAAGTACATGAAGAAGTAGCAGTAGTAGTAGTGGTAGTAGTAGTAGAAGTAGTAGAAGTAGTAGTAGAAGTGCATGTAGCAGTAGCAGTAGTGGTAGTAGAAGTACATGTAGAAGTAGCCGTAGCAGCAGCAGCAGCAGCAGTAGTAGTAGCAGTAGCAGTAATAGTAGTAGTAGTAGTAGTAGTAGTGGTAATAGTAGTAGAAGTAATAGTAGACGTAGTAGTAGTAGTAGTAGTAGTAGTAGTAGTAGTAGTAGTAGTAGTAGCAGTAGTAGTAGTAAACATTCGGTTAACCAACTGTTTATTTCCCCAGCCTGTTCCGTTGGCTGAACGGTGGTAAATGGTGGGCCGCCCCGTCCACGGGAATGAACACCTTCGGTCTGGCCTCCACATTCTGTGACAGGATCTCCCTGTACGGCTACTATCCCATGAGAACTTACAACAACAGGACAGTTCCCTATCACTACTATGACAGACGGAGACCCAGTAAGAGGCACGAGTTTACAGAAGAGTTTGAAATGCTCCAAACACTTCAGGAGAAAAGACTTGTTCGACATATTGTGGGGGCTTGTTCTTTAGTATGAAAGTTTCAAGAAGTTATTACATGTATTTGTACACTCAGACCCAACGAGAAATCTAAAGTAGCCTTATTACGCACAATTCAAAATAGGAAACAAGAAATCAAAGATTTCACAAGTATTTAGAGTTGCTGTGAATTTCTTGTTTTATTCATCATTGCGAATTTCTCGCTGATTTTATGCATATTCTATGGTTCTATAATACATTCCTATATTTTTTCGTGTATATATACGAGACACCTTGGGGTACTTTTTGACAACTATAAAAAATGTGACCAAGTCTCAGTTGTTCAAATATCCTAACTTTCTTCGTCCGTTGCTTGGTACTTTTTGTCTCTTAGAGTCTTTATTTTCCAAAGATAGCAAATCCTTAGCAATGGGAGCTCCTCTAGCCGACGGCATTCTCCTCGCACTTTTGGTGGTAGTTCCGTTGGATCGCCGCAAGGACGCGCTATTTGAGGCGGCCGCGCCCGTGGCAAAAGAACAGCCAGACGCTTGGTAAGAACACCGTCAGTAGAAGGATGAAGTAGACAGGCACACACACGTGGGGGCCTTGGCTGGGCAGGCGATTCGTGTAGTTCTATGGAAAGGAGATCGACAAATATGTGTGTGAAAGTATTACTAAAGTCAAACCCAAGCCCGTCAAATCGTATGGACCTTAACATGTAACTTATAGTTGGTCATAGCATTAGATGCATAGGGCCTTAGGCCATGTTGATTTGATTATATGGATGACATCCGCGCGCGCATGAATTTTCGGCCGTTTCCAAAAAAAAAGTTTTCAACCTAACTGTAAATCGTACAAAACAGTTGAAAATGAGCACAAATATACCGTAAGTTACAAAAAAAATAAATAAAAATACCAATGTCGTAGAATGCCAAAATCAAACGAAAAAAGACGAAATTGTAAAGAAATGAACTTGAAGACTAGATTATTCGCCAAACCATATTCTGTGCCCTATGCTCAACCCTCATGACCACGTAGATTTCATAATGAAAACTAACTTTTTTTTGCAAAACTTTTTTTTTTATTCGCACGCACGCATCAGTTTAGGGGTTCCCGGAGGATGTCATCCATATAATCAAATCAACATGGCCTTACTCAAACAAAGAGCGGGGTAAAAAGAAATGTGCCTGCTTTTGTCTGTGTTTCCGCATATTTATGGCCTGCATGGATTGCTATGACACTCAAGTCTTGGGAAACAATACTCAAGTTCGATGTTTATGGGCCTGGCAGTTTTCAATTGTACTGCATCAAAACTTCCATTCCTGGACATACTATGGTCTTGTTGCGTTTAAGATAGCAGATAGATTTTACTGTGTTTCTGCTACAATTTCAATGTATGTGATTGAAATAAATTGAAATGCGGCGAAGATTATATTAAGTAGGAACTTAAGTCTAGGAATTAAAAATTAGCGAGTACATTACATGTGAAGTTATCACTTTCCTACAAAGCTATGTAATTTTATGAAGAAACTTAAGTCGATCAAAGTACTCCTTTATACAATGGTTTCAATTGTCCACAGTAATAAAACAATATAGAAACTTTATTTGCAAATCATGCCCGAAGGCTAATTACTGAAGGTGGTCATGACCTCCGGACGGAGTATTGTGGTAAGTCGTTTTTTTCATGTTCGCAGCTAGAACAATGGGTTCTCTTTGTTTAATCGGCATGTTATTTTATACGTCGTCTGCGGGCATGCCCTTGATGATGCACGTATTGTTATTTTTGCTGTAACTGTTTTCGCGGTCAATGTAATTTTTCAAAAGCATCCATAAATTTAAGAGGCACATGGGACCGGCCGCAAAAAAACGTTGTTTTCAATAGCGGGGGGGGGGATATGCTTCCTAAACTAGTAGTCTGACTCAAAGTTGAAGAAAGTTAGACATGACCAGAACAGCCACTTACATTGTATACCCCTAGGCTACATTGCCGGCATACTTAAAATATGCTGTACTTAACTTTTTGTTCATTGTTCCCTCTACCTGAATTACAACCACCCAGTACATGTACATGTGTACCCCTCTGATGTGTGTTTCTGTCCTACATGTTCCTTGTTTCCACGCAGGCTCGAGGGTTCAGTCATAAGGCGCTCCTGTCCAGCGAGACAGCGCCTCCCGGTGAGGACGGGTCACTCACTACCATCTCCGAGCTCGCCAAGGTTCTCGATGTTCGTCCTGAGACGGCTGCTACGTCTTAAATGTTAATTTCGGCTTGAAACAGCATATATTGTCTACAACACTATTCAGTGCAGATCTTCATGCTTAGGTTGTGAAGATTACTTTTGTTGTTTGTTTGTTTTTATTCCAACATGTAATCACAAGACGTGGTGACGGCACACTCAAGTTTTTTCAACTTATATTAATACCGCCACCAACACAGGGGACAAATACATGACAGGACAATACTCATTTACACCTGAGCTAAGTGAGGAAAGTCGTGTAAAGTGCCTTTCCCAAGGGCACAAGATTGGTGGCATGTCAGGACTCGAACCCGGGACTCTTAGTTCCGAGTCGCGCACTCTGCCGCTACGCCACACGACCCCACACTTACTTTGTTTCTGAAGGCCACTTCATTTCCATTAATTTTATCTCAGACTTCAGAACTAAAGATATCAATATTAAAACAGGGTCAGATGGGAAACTATTTGAAACATAAAGTTTGAGGAAATAGATAAGCGGAAATATATGCATCCTAAGCAAGTTCAAAAGACCAACAAACTACAATAACTGGTCTGTATATTCCTCATGAACTCAACATACATGTATATGATGACCAAACCTCCAATGCCACATAATATACTCCACATAATTGCTACATAATATAATCCAACACTGCAATCCATCGTTATACAGCACATGTTAACATGGTGACAGCCATTTGGTCTACGTCATTGACCTTGTGTGTTCTAGGAGAAAAAGAAGAAACTAAGAGTAATTATGTTTTCCTTCTGCAAAACATTATTAGTCGTAATTATTTATAATTTGCAACCTATTTTTTCTCTGAGCCCAGTTTCAGTCTTGACCTTTGAGAATTGGAAATTGAGTGGCCATATTTGTAATGTTCCTCAGAGTTCTGAATTGATTGTGTGAAAATTATTGACAATTAAGATTGCTAGTCCAAGTTGTCGTTAATTTTTTTTTAACAGAGTACTACATATTTTGCTTTAGGGATGTTTGCTCATGCTTCAATTGATCAAATTCATTTGACATATTCTGTGAATATTACGTTACTTATATTTCTTTTGTTGCTGTAAGAGTTTTTTTATATATGGCTAATACATTAAATAGCAAACAAAAATATTTCAGTGTATGTTTCACTTGTGGTTGTCTATTCACAGCACTTTTTATGCAAGAATATAATATTTTCACGCACATGCATGCGTGTGACCACAGACACCTACGCATACCGCAACGCATACACGCACACATACACACAACACTCAATCAAGTTCATTACCACGATATAATTTTGGGACAGGAAACATGCTACAACAGAGACATAGAATTTATGTTGTTTTACTTTCGAAAAACTGAGTGTGTACATACTACATGTATTTACATTATCATACATTGGGTTTTTTTCGACGCTAGCACAATCCATAGAAACAATTACAAAAACTAATACAGACATTTTTTTCAATATTACGCAACATGAAAGTTAAATATCATCCATCGTTGGAGGTATAATGTTTATAAGAAGCACAACAAGTCGTGACTAACTACATTTACAGACGCATACATCAAGACGTGTCAAGAGCTTTATAAAAACATATATGTCAGGTAGAGACTTCGATCCGCTAGAGATTTACATCCAGATCGGTACCATGTGTCACAGACACTCCAACAGAATGTTGTCTACGTGTTAAAATGATTTCCCATTTGCAAATCATAAATTCCCTGTCTAAAAAATTAAATTAAATAATTAAATAAATAATAAATAAATAATAATAATAATAATAATAATAATAATAATAATAATAATAATAATAATAATAATAATAATAATAATAATAATAATAATAATAATAATAATAATAATAATTAAATTAAAATTAAAATTAAAATTAAAATTGTGTTCACAGGCTACCCTTTCGTTAGATACTCCTTTCCATCTGTAGAATCAGCGATTCTATCCTTAAAGATCCAATCAGAATTTCTGTGACAGAGACTCCTCTTGAAATCTCTTCCAGTAGAATCAACGATTCTACCAGACCATAGCTTCTAGCTTCTAGCCCGACATCTACATAAATCATGCTCGTATTACATTTAAAGGTTAACAATAACAAATTTAAAGCAAACATGAAAAACAATGTCCAGAAATTGCACATCCAGGTATCGTTCGATATAATGATCCCTAATTAAAATAATAAAAACTATTGTCAAGGAAAAAAATTATAATAATAATAATATATTGCAAATAAAGTTTGAGTTAACTAAACACTTTTAAGGTGTAAAAAAAATCCCGTCTTTGGTTTCTACTTATCAAAATTTCAATAAGATCTTATTTGATCTAAATAAAAAAGGCGTGTTTAGTATGTGCAGTGCGATATAAATCTTCAATATAGTTTCCAGCTTATATGATGGTGCTTTTTTTATAACTATACAACGAAAAAACAACTTTGGCAGAGAAGGGCATATACAGTTACGAAAAGGTATATTTTCTTACCGATTTCTCAGTATCTGTTCCATCAGTTTCTTTAGCTTAAGATATTCCATGGCTTTTTTGTAATCACCCAGGTCTCTACAGGCGGCGCACAGATTGTTCAGTGAGCGGACAATATCAGGATGGGCAGCGTCCTGACCATAGATAGTCCGCATCATCTGTAGTGACTGTTCGTAATAGCTTATTGCCTTTCTGTAATCCCCAAGGAGGTCCCAGGCTGCACCCAAGCTCTCAAATGACTCTGCAATATGAGAATGTGCATTACCCTCGCCGTAGATAGTCAGCCTCATCTGCAATGACTGTTCGTGATAGCTGATAGCCTTTCTAAAATCCCCAAGGTCCCTCCAGGCGGTCCCCAAGTTGTTAAGTGATGCTGCAATATCAGAATGTGCATTGCCCTCACCATAGATCCTCCACTTTATCTCCAGTGACTGTTCGTAATACCCGACCGCCTTTCTGTAATCTCCAAGGCCACTCCAGGCTCCACCCAAGTTGTTAAGTGATGATGCAATATTAGAATGTGCAGTGCCCTCGCCATAGATAGTCTGTTTCATCTGCAGTGACCGTTCGTAATACCCGACCGCCTTTCTGTAATCGCCAAGGCCACTCCAGGCGTTACCCAAGTTGTTAAGTGATGCTGCAATATCAGAATGCGCATTACCCTCGCCGTAGATAGTCCGCCTCATCTGCAATGACTGTTCGTGATAGCTGATAGCCTTTTTAAAATCCCCAAGGTCCCTCCAGGCGGTCCCCAAGTTGTTAAGCGATGCTGCAATATGAGAATGTGAGTTGCCCTCGCCAAAGATATTCCGCCACATCTGTAGTGACTGTTCGTAATAGCTTATAGCCTTTCTGTAATCCCCAAGGTCACTCCAGGCTCCACCCAAGTTGTTAAGTGATGATGCAATATTAGAATGTGAGTTGCCCTCGCCATAGATAGTCTGTTTCATCTGCAGTGACCGTTCGTAATACCCGACCGCCTTTCTGTAATCGCCAAGGCCACTCCAGGCGTTACCCAAGTTGTTAAGTGAGTCCGCAATATTAGAATGTGCAGTGCCCTCGCCATAGATAGTCTGTTTCATCTGCAGTGACTGTTCGTGATAACTGACCGCCTTTCTGTAATCCCCAAGGTCACTCCAGGCGGACCCCAAGTTGGAAAGTGAATCTGCAATATCAGAATGTGCAGTGCCCTCGCCATAGATAGTCTGCTTCATCTTCAGTGCCTGTTCGTGATAGCTGACCGCTTTTCTGTAATCCCCAAGGTTCCTCCAGGCTCCACCCAAGTTGTTAAGTGATGCTGCAATATTAGAATGTGAGTTGCCCTCGCCAAAGATACTCCGCCTCATCTGTAGTGACTGTTCGTAATAGCTTATAGCCTTTCTGTAATCCCCAAGGAGGTCCCAGGCTCCACCCAAGTTGTTAAGGGATGCTGCAATATGAGAATGTGAGTTGCCCTCGCCATAGATAGTCCGCCACATCTGTAGTGACTGTTCGTAATAGCTTATAGCCTTTCTGTAATCCCCAAGGTCACTCCAGGCTCCACCCAAGTTGTTAAGTGAGGCGGCAATAGCAGAATGTGAGTTGCCCTCGCCATAAATTCTCCACTTCATTTTTAGAGACTGTTCGAAATAGCTGAAAGCCTTCCTGTAATCTCCAAGGTTCCTCCAGGCTCCACCCAAGCTGTTAAGTGATGATGCAATATCAGAATGCGCATTACCCTCGCCGTAGATAGTCCGCCTCATCTGCAATGACTGTTCGTGATAGCTGATAGCCTTTCTAAAATCCCCAAGGTCCCTCCAGGCGGTCCCCAAGTTGTTAAGTGAGGCGGCAATATCAGAATGTGCGTTGCCCTCGCCATAAATACTCCGCCTCATCTGTAGTGACTGTTCGAAATAGCTTATAGCTTTTCTGTAATCCCCAAGGTCCCTCCAGGCGGTCCCCAAGTTGTTAAGTGATGATGCAATATCAGAATGTGAGTTGCCCTCGCCATAGATAGTCCGCCTCATCTGCAATGACTGTTCGTGATAGCTGATAGCCTTTCTAAAATCCCCAAGGTCCCTCCAGGCGGTCCCCAAGTTGTTAAGCGAGCCAGCAATATCAGAATGTACAGCGCCCTTGCCATGGGTAGTTCTCGTCATCTGTAGTGACTGTTCGTAATAGCTGATAGCGTTTCTGGTATCTCCAAGGTTATCCAAGGCGTGACCCAAGTATGTTAGTGAGGCGGCAATATCAGAATGTACAGTGGCCTCGCCATAGATAGTCCGCTTCATCTGTAGTGACTGTTCGAAATAGCTGACCGACTTCCCGTAGTCTCCAAGGTTGTGCCAGGCATTTCCCAAGCTATCTAGCGAGTTCATGATGTCCCTGTGTACTGCGCTTTTGCCATATCTAGATTGGTATTTCTCTAATGTTTGCTCTGCGTATGTCTTAAAATTTTGGTAATCGCACAGACTTTCAAATACTTCGGCTTTAAGTTCTGAAGAATCGTCATAAAAGATGGAAGGTTCTTCCAAAGGCTGAGTTTTGGTCAGCTGTAAAATAAATTGTTTTACTGGTCTTTCTGTGTAATAGTACCTCAATAGTTGTTTTGTATTTGAGACGTAAAACACTTTTTGCAATATCTCCCCGATGCGCGTATCAGTTGACATTGGTGATAAACCTGACATGTTTTCCACCTGACCACGGTTGTTCATATAAGTCCGCAGCCTTAGCTCTGCTGAGATACTCACCATCACCATCAAGTGGTGTGCATTCTCACTACTTACGACTCCTCTGTTTTTCATCTTCTGAATAGTTTCCCAGATTGTAGTTGGCTGTATGTTATTTAGTAGAGCCCAGAAGGACACTGCAAGGCTTGAAAATCGATACAATTCTTTCTTTACATTCTGCAGACTGGCAGTGAGAGCTTGGCGTTGAAAAGTTGATACATTATCAACCAGTACAGTAATTGCCATTAGGGGGGCTCTACTGTTATTTTCTTGAAGTTCCTGAGTGAACAAAGAACTGTACTCTTCGACCAAACCCTGTTCTCCTGTGATAAAAATTGCATTTCCCAGAACACTGGCGAGATGGTAGCCTTTCTTTAAATGGAACGTAAGGTCATCTTTCAGAACGTTAGTCATATTGCTTGGCGTGTGAATGAGTTCGCTTGTTCCTGTGCTGTTTCTACCCCTGCCCAATGGAGTCTTACATGCATGTGGCATGGCTCCATCGAACGCAAAACCTCGCGGTGTTACTGAGTCATAAAACCAGTTGTCCAGGGGGTCGTCTGAGTAGAAATCATTCAGAGACTTAATCCCCATGGCTGGGAGAATGGTTTCTCCCAGGTTTATCACTTTAAGATGCAGGTAATGGGTAATATTGCGGAAATAGGTAACATTTTGCTCTGATTCCTCCTCTACCAAGATGGCGAATTCCAGGTCAGAGTACGGGGTTACCAACCCTGTGGCTTGTGAACCTAAGCCTATCATGGCGTACTTACAGGGAGGGGGACCCATTGCTTCCATGCATTCACCTACAAGGCCAGCTATGAACGTTTTACGCTGATCACCAATTGTCTGAAACAAATCTTTGATTGCTTCCACTCTCTCCATTTCCACTTCTTTTATCCTAGGGTCATTGTCATCAAGGCTATATGGATCTACCTCTTGTTCTATTCGTTTGATTTCTTTATCTACGTAGTCCCTACTAGCCTTCAATTTCAACTTGTGTTTCTGTGTGTTATCAATGTTTACCTTCTTTGCTACCTTCAGGACTTCCTTTACAAATGTTTGGGTTATTTCTTGGATAGTTTCCGCCACATCTTCTCTCCTTGATCTTACCATTGCTGCGTTACAAAGTGCTGCAGCCTTGGTAAAGTCGCCCCCTTCCATTGACTGGACTCCTCTCTTGAGATAGACTTCGCCCATCTTGTACAGGGGTTCTGCCTCTTCTTTGTGTTGACCTGTAAAAATTAAAAATGTTTATCTGATATTTGTGTCCTTTTATCAGGAAGTAACGTATTCAAAGTTCTTTATCATTGAAACTTTTTATATTGTTAGTACCATTATAATATTGATTAATACACGTGTCTAAAATTTTGAACATATTTCACATATTTCATATTACCATAACATGACTTACCTTTGGCATGGACAGACTTGAGTGCAGCAGCAAAGCTTTGTTCTGCTTTCTTTAGGTCTTCATTCTGCAGTGCTCTGTAGCCATCTTGTAGATGTTGTTCGTATACATGTACATGTATACTGTGGCAAAATGGATAGCATGTGATATAAGCACCAAATCATTAAACAATGTATTCATGCGTATTTTGGGGGGTGGGGGGGGAAGAGCACCGGCATAAAGTACTTCAATCACGGTGGAAAGCAATTTATATTTCCCTAAATAAGGTTTTGCAATATTATAAATTTGAATTTGGATATGAAACATTCCCTATATCATGCTTTGAAAAATGGTTATGTATCAATGACTAGAACAAACCTGTCATCTTCGTCCTGTGTTGTCACAGCAGCTGCACATTTTTGTTCTGCGTTTTCCAGGTTTCCAGTCTGCAGGGCACTATAGCCATTTTGTGGATGTTGTTCGTGGATACTGTTACCAAAAAAATGTTAATGATATAACGTGCGTTCTATTATTTGAAAAAGTCAATTGCATCAGCAAAAGAAGATCACTAATCAAGTCAATCATCAGCGGCTACGTCTTCATAGACGTTGAATGATCTGCAGAGACGAAGAGACAGCTCACCAGTGTGTGGTGGTGTTACTTCAGACACTGCTAGCCCCCCCCCCCACGGCAGAGGGAATATTGAAAAAAAGGTTGAAATTCCCCAAGACGGGTGGCATGCAACTGATGAGGCATACTATCAACATCATTTAAGTTGTGTTTTTCAAACTAATATAAATAGTAAACTGTACTCTTGTGAACTTCGTATGTAATATTTAAAGCGCCACACAACATTCACTCTTCCTGTTACATGCATGTTACGTGCATTCAAGGGGTCATTCGAGCCCTGGAAGGTATAATGGAAAAATGTTGTGTAAGATGCAGTGGAAGGATGAATTCTATTCTTTTTGTGGTAGCATTGTATGTTTTCCGCGAACATTTAGAGAGGATGGCTTTGTCAGGGTATCTGCTCAGTTATGTTGATAGAACCATATATTAAACTGTAACGTTGATAAAATGTAAGTAAATACTAGATCCCCTTTCTCTGTTAACTGTGGCTATATGTTAAGACAAACCTGCCATCGTCCTGTGTTGTTACAGAAGCTGTAAAGTTTTGTTCTGTTTTCTCCACGTCTTCTGTCTTCAGAGTACTGTAGCCATCTTGTGGATGTTCTTCGTATTTACTATGACAGAGATGGATACCATATAATATAATATAACATAACATAACATAATATAATATAATGTAATATAATATAAACACCTGGCCATTTCAAAATGTACTCATGTGGGAATCGTGTCATCTTTTGGGGCTAAAGCACCAACTAAACTACTTTAGCCACGGTGAATATTTATGTAATTGAAATTCAAACATTACATATTTTCCAACTTAATGCTGTTTAAGAGATTTTAAGCTATGGTAATGTATCAATGACTAATACAAACCTGCCATCGTCGTCCTCTGTTGCCACACTGCTGTCTTTGACTCTACTCTGTCTTGTACGCATTCTGCAAATAATCATTAATTGTCACAAGTTTGTCCTGAATGGTTTCAGAATACAATACATTTGAGAACTAAATACATTTAGTATTAAACTACATGTAAGTCCCTCAAACACCCGAACGGGGTCCATTTGGACCCCAGACGTATATTTTTATGTGCTATTTGAATTTTTTATTCTAAAAAAATTCCTCCCGTGACTTTGTCAGTAAACCTCTTCTACATGTTCTCCTAAATCTTTTTGGAGATCGGCACAAATTTGTAAAAATAACAACGGAATTCCGATGTAAGACCGTCTGGGGTCCAAACGGACCCCAGCCATGTATTTGCACTTTCCTACACACGAAATTGTTCGGATGTCCTCAATATGTCTTCAAGGAAGCATTATTGCTTTAATATTACGCAGTTTGCCAACTAACCTCAACCTCAGGAATTATTTCATCAGGTTTTTGACAATCATATGAGGTCAAAGGTCAACCCCATATTCATGCCTGCAGGCCTCATCCTATTTTTGCATAAATTATGATAATGAGCTGGAATTTTTTAACACTTAATCATGCTAATATAAACGTCTAAATATATTTAACCAATATATGTGCAAAGGTCACTGAAAGGATGCAAAAAAAAAGGAATGTAAATATGAAAGAAACCAAATGGGGTCCATTTGAACCCCGTTCGGGCATTAACGTCACAAAAAAAGTTCGGGTGTTTGAGGGTTAAACAGATAAGAAAACGTTAACTAACACGTACTTTGAACAGTGGGTACATTTCAGTGACTAATACAAACCTTCCATCGTCATCCTGTGTTGTTACGCTGCTGTCTTTAACTTGATTACTCTGTCGGCAACCCATTCTGTAAAGAATCAGCACATTGTTATAATAATCATTCTGAAGTTTTGTTATGTATTTTATCCACGAAGCGCCACGGAGACATGGTAAGGCTACACACATCGCAGTCCTTTTAAGTCAAACAAGGATCCATAGGACACAAACCTCCGTTAGCTGTAACAGAGTTTGTGCAGTGGGCGAAAGTGTACCTATCCTCCCCTTTATAATAAAGTTCACAGCTACAATTACCAACAGCAAATCAATGTCACCAGTAACAGCACATGGGCTTAAAGGTTGGGTAACAAACCAATACAATAAACAGCTGCTGCAATTCAATACGTCGTCAATATCAAATAAAACACATTAACAACACATTCACTATGGACGATATCACGCCACTTTCAGCACGGAAGTGTCGCCCTGTTGTTTTGTAGTACCTGCAAAATTCTGTGCCGGCGAACATTGCGACACCTAGTCATGATATACATACCTGTTTCAGTCTTCTAACAGACGTTTATTGTCCTCAGTACAACTAGTAGTGGAGGATAGCGGCCTTATTGTAAAGAAAAACAACACTTTTTCCCTCAGTAAAAAAGTAACGGTTCCAACTAGCGACAGGCAGCACGAAAGCGGAAGTCCCCAGGTATGACCTCACCTGTTGGGCGGGGCTTGGAAAGGGGCGTTTCCGGAATGTTCCATTTACAAACGATAGGGGACAGATATGGGCCTTTTGTGTAACTCACTGTTGGTTATGGTATTACATACGTTGAACTTTACTTCTAACGGAAATAATAAACTTTCGTTGTAGATCACGAACAGTGTATACTCAAAGTAGGATTCTACAACTAGTTTGAATTAAATTTAAAAAAATTTAGTTGATTTTGTATCACTATATTTGCTATGTCGGTGGCGCAACGGTAAGACTCGGAACAACTCCGATATATTCACCGGTGCACCATTGCCTGACGCTGTGCCTTTGGGAAAGGCACTTAACACTACTCTCCTTTTTTGACGGTGGAGTGAGGCCCTGTCTAAATGTGTGCCAAAAACACACTACGGATTTGTTGCTTCGGTGTGATACAATTTGCATATTTGTCACCAAGAGCCATATTTACCTTCGCCAAGAAGGTTATGTTTTCAGGGGCGTTCGTGTATGTGTGTGTGTGTCTGTAAACACGATAACTTGAGAAGGCCTTGATGGATTGTCTTGATACTTGGTAGATGGGTAGGTCTTGATGAGACCTCAAAATGATTAGATTTTGGGCCCCCTAGCGGCTTGTTATGGTACTGCAGCTGAACTTCCGGTTTTGATATCTCAAGATCCAGACATGCTATGGTGATGAAATTTGGATGATAGGTAGCTCTTGTGCTCGGGAAGAAGTGACGTGATTTCAGGCCCCCTAGCGGCTTGCTCTAGAACTGCAGGGGGGTTTAAAGGACAAATGTTTAAAAGAGGATAACTCAAGAACCGATTGATGGATCATCGTGATTTTTGGTATGTAGGTAGCTTAAATGATGCTTGACATAATGATATTACAATTATGCGAATATTGATGTAATTTGCATAATTAATGAGGAAATTCTATAAATCAGCTGCATTCCATGATAGGAAGTTCAAGCTTGTAACATATGTTATTAAGAACGAGAGAAACACAGGCAAATATTGATTATGCAAATGAAGACTTAATTTGCATAATTAATGAGAAAATGTTACAATTGCGTAGTGGTAACTGCCTGGAATTTCATACTTGGGGTGTTTGAAAGTTAAGTGAAGGTGAACATAATTAAACATAACTTATTCAAATAAGGACCACATTTGCATAATTTATGAGAAAATGGCATTCTTTGTTAAGATAAGACTGTCTTTCGGTGGAGAATATGATCAACAGACTGATATAATTCATGCAATTGAGGATCCTATTTGCATAATCAGGGTGATTAGTATATTTCTTATTCATAAAGGCTAACATCATTTGGCGAAGGTATGAGATCGTGGAACTCTAGTTTTATATTTATTCACCATCCACAACAAACTTTCATACACGTACAATGTAAATCTTAAACATTTGAAACACAATTTTACCTTGTACTTTGAAGGTAACTAAATAGATGAAGTATTTTAATGGATATCTGGGCAGATACGCGGTTGATACCAGTAGATTTACCAAGGGATCATGGGATTTTCCTATCTGGAAATACCCATGACGTCATAGCTTAAGAACAGCCTGTACAGCGTTATGTTTCACCTGTCCGAATTGACTTTTTGTGTCGAGGATTCTTTGTCATAGTTGCAGCGTCTTGTCATGTCAAGACATGTTCCTACTTTGTTCTATATTTATATAATGGAATCAGTAGATCCGAAATGCACCTATTCAACTGTGTCAGACTCTGTAACTCAGACCCCCC